TTTTGACTCGCTGTATCCTATGCACTCGTTACGGCGAGGTAGGAGAATCTAGCTTCTTTAAGCGATAGTGTCTTAGGAATGAATGCAAGCATCATTGGTCCTCACCGTTTCATCTGTCGATGGTAAGTGTGGCGAGCTATTTTTTGCAACATTTGTCAGCATATTCATAGATGTACCAACCAGCTCTGCATCGCATGTTTCTGAGCGTATTGACTGTAGACGACGAGCCATATCTTCGCTCGCTATGTGCGCCACATCGTCGCAGTATCAGTTCGGTACAAGCCAAGAACGGACAGAGTACTCACGACACACAGCTACACGTTGGCTGTGTAGAACAATGGGTGACTCCGTCGCGTTTCGCCGAGTATCTGCACCCTTCGACGATGGACGATGACCAAATCCGGGGTCGGCCAATGTAACGAACTAGGACGGCCGAGAAACGGCTGCCCTGGTTCTCCTAAAGCCTGCTCTGCACCAGTGCACAGACGCGTAGCGCTGACAAGGATCTGATGGTAGGATAATCAATCTGTTGTGTTTTGTATGCACCCGTCCGCTATGACAGTTTCGGCCTGGAACACAGCAACGAGAGGTTTAGTCCACACAGCCCGATATGTACAAGTGATAGCTAGATTGCATCACAACGTGTGATGAGGATGCTCTGCCACTTCCTCCGAGCCTCCGACTGTAGCCATTCCGCCGTTTCCAGAGGGACTCCGAACTGCTGCCAGAAACCCCGCCAGAACTGATCGAGCGTTGGGCAGTCAATATCTCCGACGTTAGAATTTTCCCCATCGGCGATAGCCAGCTCGCGTAGCGTCCAGCTCGTGTGGCGGCAGAGGTGCTGGTGAGCGGGCGGCAAGAGTAAGAAACACAACATCAGGACCTTGGCAAGGCTTTTCGCGGTGATGAGCCTGATAGCGTGCCTTTCCGCCCCAAGACTATCAGCTGCAATACAGTTGGGATATAGCTGAACGTGATGCTCCTCCCACTCCAGGGAAGCAGGATTGAGATGTGATGGCGTCAAGGGGAAAAGGTTAAGCATGTCTTCGTTTGCGCACAGAAAAACCACGTTGGACGGTAGCAGAGATGGCACTGTGAAATGCATGCGCGGAGCTACGGCTGTGTCGAATGGCGGGTGCGCGTTAGGCAGATTACAAGGCTTTCCGTGCGCACAATTACACGAGCGCAGCCCAGCGCGCGACAGGATGGACGTGGCCGTGGCTAACTGACCCGCAGAGACTACCAGCCCGCACAGCTGGAAACACAAACAGTGTCACAGCGAGCCACGGACTTGACATAAACACCGTAAGCTTACCACCGGGGCGTTCTCGCAGTAGTGTCCCCAGTTCAAGTGATCACCCCACTGGAAATTGGGTATCCCTGCATCGTCCAGGGCTTTCGAAAGAGCTGCCATGAAAGAATACGGCCAAGGATTTTCTTGGTGCGTAACAAGCATTAGTGGAGAGATTGGAGACTTGGACTCGGCAGCTGGCGACGACAGTGGTATGAAGCAAGGTCGTGGGCCAAATTTCCGAACTAGACTTGATGATAGCAGTCCCCGGACACCGCCCTAGCACCCGATACCCCGAAGTCGAGCGCCATGCAGTGCATTCCTTCAGAGAATCTGACTCGGCCACCTATGTGTATATGATCGATTTCCGCGTGAAACAAGTCTACCAAGTCGATTTCCTTCGAATGTATCGCCTTCGGCGCTCCAATTGCTGGCGTCAAAGAATGTGGCGATATAGACAATTAATGGCGTCCACAGCTCTCTGACCTCATCCCTCCCAGGTTAGATTTAGCTCATCTCCCATAAACATGAACATCCAGCTCTTAAGTGACCTCTATCTCGAATGCGAGCGTCCAAATGCCAAGCCTGGCAAGGAGTTCTACCACTATGAGTTCCCTGTGGCGGCCCAGTACCTGGCCCTCCTCGGCGATGTTGGGTGCACTTTCCAGGATGAAATGTTCGTCTGGTTGCGCGACCAGCTCCCGAAGTTCAAGATGATCTTCTTCGTAGCCGGAAACCATGGTCTGTAGAGCAATACATCGCGATAGTGCTGCATACCGACTACTATTATTAGAGCCATACCGTTCAACCGTCGTACGACGTCCTCCGTATAGTTTAGCAACACTTAGATGGCTAACAGACAATGTAGCCAGAATCTCATGCTCGCCTGCGTGCATTTGAGGCCGAATCTAATGGTCGATTCGTCTTCCTGAACCGAACGCGCTACGACCTTACCCCAACGCTCACGATCCTTGGCTGCACCCTGTGGGCTGCGCTTGACTCAGAGTATCTCGACATCCTCTCGTGGGCGCTGCAAGACTTCAAGCGCATCGACGGTTTCACCCCTGAGGCCTTCATCGCCGAGCACCGTGCAGACGTCGCATGGCTCAACACAACAGTCACGCAGATTGCAGCGCAGGAGCCTCGGCGGAAGGTCCTTGTGCTTACACATCACGCTCCGACAATCGGGGGAACGAGCGACTTGAAGTTCGTCGGGCAGGACAACCCGACAAACTCGGCGTTTGCGAGCGAGCTTACGGGCGAGCCATGCTGGACGGCGGGAAATGTAACGCTGTGGATGTTCGGTCATACGCATTGGTGCTGTGATTTTATGAAAGCAGGAGTCAGGGTGGTGAGTAACCAGCGCGGATATCGCGAAGGGAGCGAAGGCTACAGTCTTACGAAAGTAATCGCTTTGGAGGACTAAGACAGTACTGGCAGAAGGTCATACAATCATAACACTGCGGGGATGCAGCGCTTTATGTTATACAGGGAAAATGTTACACCCGATTTCGTTGTCGCTGATGCCCAGCTTACGCTGTTCAAGGCGAAGACAGTGACTTCAGCTGCTCGTGCTCGTTCTGTAGATTTTGGCATTTAGGTCTTGCAGGGTGTTGACGACTACATCTCTATGCCCGCTTGAGAGACATAGAAAAAAGCATCCTGAGGGGGAGATGCTTCGCACAATGTCGTGGCGAGTGCAAGCTCGGTGACATCACCTCTTCGTCTGCATCCCGGTGTCTCGCCTCTGTTGCTTAGTCAAGGCACAGTCAATGTGTCATCCTTGACGACGATCGCCTTCCCCGCATTCCAGCTTGATCTTTTACCCTCACCATCCCGTTCATTGAGGCCCAAACTCTCCGTCTCCGTCGCGGATCAGAGTATTGCTATGGTCTAAACATCCAACGACGGTGTCAGCCTGAGAGTCTCAGATTCGTTGTAGCTATACCGGGCGGAGGTCTGGTTTGTTCTTCAGGCTACACTTTCGAGTACGCTTCGCGGATGTAAAATTGAGCGCTTGGGCGGCGCGTTGAATGGCTAGATATCACGTGACAATCGCGGTTTTCACGTGGACAGACGCGATCGCGTTGATCAACCGCGTTAAACGACGCGCAATAAAAACTAAGTTCAACTCCCGCTAGAAAGCTTCCATCATTCCCCCTTCCTCCTCTCGTCCGTCCACCATGTCTCTCCTCGAGTCCCCGCGGAGCCCCAGTCTTTTCCGCACATCCTCTGCAACCAGCGTCGGCTCCGTTGACACTCAATCTAGCCTTGACGACACCGCAATCGATGGCGAGCTGCCTCGCCGCACCCGGAAGCGCTTTACTAGTACACAGCTTATGATGCTCGAACATCTCTACCACCAAACCTCTCACCCGACACGCGAACAGCGTGAGGCTGTAGCCAAGGAGGCTTCAATGTACGTACACCGGTTCCGCCATAGCCATTGGGCCCGTCGTTCTTAACCGCTTCATCACCACATACAGAGAACTCCGGTCTGTGACAGTCTGGTTCCAAAATAAGCGGCAGACCGAACGAAAAGTTGCGCTTCACAACAACCCCGCGGGCACCGATGACCCAACGTTATCCGCGATGTTGTTTCCCACGATAGCCGACGCACGCGGCCGACGTATCTCCCACCACGCCTCGCGCTCGCCGCCCCTCAGCGCCGTCTCTGCTTCGTCTTCGTCCAGCGTGCGCACGGTGCGCAACCACATGTACCACCACCACTCGCACCCGCATCAGCAGCGCCGGCCGACGGTCTCGCTGGGCGCCTTAAAGCGTCCGTCGTTGGACGCCATCGCGACACGTGCTGAGCGTCCAGAGCCGCGCACGCCGCCACGCGCTCGCACGTACTCGATCCCAGAAGATCCGCGGAGCCTGTACGAGCACATGCCGAGCAGCCCGCCGTCGCCGCTGAGCCCCGCGGTCGAGCGCGACCGAGACCTGCTCGACTTTGGACTGCGCCGCCGCCCGCGCGCAAAGCCGACGCTTGAGTGGGCATGTGCCGCTGCGCGGCTGAGCGGGAATAAGTCCGCGCGCGAGGAAGACAGGGACGGGGACGTGGACATGATGGTGCTCGACATCACTGGGGGAGACACCGAGGACGAGATGGATTTGCCGCACGAGGCGCTCACGCCGAGCAGTAGCCTCAGCTCGCAGGCGACCGTCTGGCGGAGGAGTGGGAACGTGCGTCCCATTGTCCCCCTCGACGTCAATGCGACGCCGAAGCCCGCTGCGAAGACGGTTTCGCAGAACGATGTGATGGAGGCAGCGCTCGCGCTTTGCGGACTCGGCGAGGCACGATAGGGTTTCCGCCAGACAGGGTCCGCCACTAATTTGTACGCAAGATGCAGGATGTGTTGGGTTTATTTAATCGGTTGTAAGCTGTGGTCGGGGTTCATCTTTTTCTCTTCTGATAGAGACCTAACCATCACATCATTGAACATTGTATACCACATTACATACCACTGCACGCACTTGGCTAAAGTTAATGCACATGTTTTGTAGCACCGGTCTCAGTTTAGAACCACTGGCTAGCTTATCGGTATGGCTGCGGGCCGTGCGAGAGATGAAGCGGTACTGGGCAACTGCTGAAGGCGAGACGAAATCAAATGAAACTGCGGACTCTAAGATGTCTCACGGCCAACCATTACATAAGGCAGTAATAATGTTGCTAAATAAAAGCACTTGAGAACATCAGTTACCCAGAGCAACCTTAGAACCTCCAATGTTGTAGGCGCATACACCTACCGCTCGATATCGCGGCGACTGAGTCACGAGTCTCAGCTGCAGCTACGTGTCGCTCTACATGTATTGCAGCCCAACGATATCAATGCTATGCTGCAGAATCCGCGATCGCTCGCGTCGTCGGGGTTGACACTCTTTGAGCCTTATCTTGAGACAGCTAGGTCTGCACTATCACCCTGGCCGAATACAACGCGGTAGGCTCAAGTAGCTGAGCGCTGAAGCTGAAGCCCAAAGCAAGATGATGTACGTGGAGACCGGGCCACCGGTCACAATTACTCGGTGGGTATCGTCTCTGGGTACCTGAGTTACTGTGGCTGGGTCCTCTGAATCATTGTATTGATAGACGGGCCGGACTCTTCAATGTCAAAGTTAAACTGCGTTACGCAATGTCCTTTCACGAAATGGCGACGCTGACATCGCATCTAACTTAAACAGAACTCAACACAGCTTGAACAATACAGGCGATATATTACATCCATCCAAGTACTATATGGTGCACCCTTATCTTTTCCAATTACATACTTCTCGTGCGAATTATCCAGAGAAAGCATATGCATGCCCATCGGCAACGGCTTGTGAAGGCATGGGCGAGGCATATGGCCGACAGAAAGCCAACCTCATTGGCCGGCGAAGGCATGTAAGATCCGCTTTGGGATGGAGCGCTTCGCATCCCGGGGCAGGCTCCACGACATGTCGTCGCTGTCAAGCATCTAACAGTCACTGAGCGCACCGCTCGCGAAGAAAATAATCAAGAAGCAACGTACCACGGCGGTCTCGGGGCGCTTTGCAGCGCGCGGTGCAGAAGAGGCAGACGCTGCTGAAGAGGACGAGCTCGTGGAGATGCTACGCAACCACGCGCTGTTGTCCGAGCCGAGGACGGACGCGGCATCCTCCTCGGGCTGCTCCTCATCGAGGTACTCGTCGCCGAAGTCGACCTGGGCAGCGAGCGAACTGTCAACTCTCCTTATCACGGAAGAGTGAACTTTAGATACGTACGAGGGTGCTGCATTCGGACTGCATGGTGGACGGGGCGATCAGCGTGTTCGGGGCGTACGCCTGGTTACGCTATGCGACGGGCAAGCATTTCCGTCAGTCTGGGAGATGCGCGCAGAGAACGATCGTTGACTGACAGGTGCGCCGTTCGCCGTCAGTGCCTTCTTGAGCGACCGAAGCTGCGACTTATTGGAAGGAGCCTACACGGAGCACGTCAGTTCGCAGGGCTATTCGCACCCACTAGAACGGAGAGCGACGCACCATCGAGGGACGCGCACAAGGGGTTCGGATAAATTGGCAGAGACTCGGATGGTTCGCGGAACGCGAGGGGTGCGGCAACGCAGGGCCAGCGGATAATTGTGCGGTATATAAGGCTGGGGCAGTAGGTGCGGGCCGGTCCATATGCAGGCCCTGCAGTAGGGACAACTGACCAGCCCTTTGCAGTCATGCATCCAGGTCAGTATGCCTCTAGACTGACCTGACCCGGAGTGATGCGGCCTCTAGGCACAGGACGTCGAATCATCGAGCCGTCTGGCACGCAGCCAAACAGAGTACAGGTAGGTATCAACACTCGGGTGGGCCGACGGCAGCATGCATCGGCCTTTGCGGGACTAGGCACTCACAAAGTGGGTAGGAACCCTGAATGCCGCGGGCGCGCAGAATACAAGGGTAATACTCGCGGCCATCTCGCTGTTGGTAGTCCTCGGCGCGTCCGGGATGGGCGGCAAGCAGCGATGTTTAACCTTACATTGTGGGGGAGCGGAAAAACCCATTGAGATCGCGGGGACGTGTCGCACGCGGCTGATGTGCTAACCCAGGCAACGGAGACGAGCTGCTGCCCATCCATGGCAGCGTTTTCTCTCGGAGGTGACAGGCGAAGCGCGGAGCCGAAGCTGTGAGGGAAACCCTGTGACCGTGCCATGGGACGTACTCCGGTGACGCAGGTCAGCCAGAGATGCCATCGAGTCGCGGTGGGATATAAAAACCCCTTCAGGGCGAACACTGACACTTCTGGTCCCCAGGAACGTCTTGTCCGCCGGTAGTTGTGCCGTGTCGAGTCTATGACCACATTGTGCCGCACATTGTCTCCACGAGATCGCCGCCCAGACAGCGGTGCCGGATACGTTGGCGACCAGATCGGACGAACAGTGACCGGAGAACGAGGTTAGTGTGGCGTCTATGAGCCCCAATCAGCCAAGTGCTAAAGTGTCCACATTGAGCCCTAGGGAGAAACCATCCTGATATGGTCGCGTTGGTGTGGTCCTCTACATAGCTCTGCGCTGTCGGCTCTCTCGCGGCGTGTTGGGTCTGTGTCATTCAGTGAAGCTCTGCGACAGCCGTATCCTCGGTGGCCGTCCATCCTACCAAAACTACGGTACATCGAATCTGGACGCGCAGCCATGTGAGAACCATGCGAGCCGATCGACTCACGAATTCTTGTAACGTAGGCCAGGCGCGCCGCAATGTGCTTCATGTATCACAAGTCTCGCGAAGCGCACTAGAGACGCATGGCCCGTAACATGATAGCACCCGGCCGAGAGCTAGGTAGAGGTGCGCCGCAGCAACCTTGTCGTACAATAATAGCACAAGAAGCTGGAGAGTCCACGTCAGCTCAGCACCGGGACTTGCGCAGGGACAATCCGCTATGGTGGCAGTACGCACATAGTATAGCAAAACAGGCGGAGCCATCGCATCGACTGCTCTACTAGGTCAAGCACTCAGCTCTGGTCCATAGTATCATTATCGCCTTCGGCCCCAATCTCCTCGAACATGAGCGCGCCCTGCTGCTCCTTCAGCCATTGTACACTACGCTTCTCGTCCATAAAGTACGAATAGCTTCGTTTTAGGTCGTCTGTTTCAACTTTGTCAGATTTGCGCTTTCGCGCGAGAACCTGTGCGGTGGAGATGATGTTCAACGCGTAGCGAAGCGTTGTCTCAAGCGCCATTTGGGTGAGGACTTGCAGAGCTGCTTCATTAAGGGTCACATCCTCCTCTTCGCATCTGAAGTATGGAGTGAATAACATCATTGCAGGAAATTCTCATAAAGATCTCACCGGATCTTGATGATTTCTTGGACATCTTCACTGTCGTATGGCCTTGTGCTCACGATGAGCACACGGTCGAGGAGGTCAACAGGAAGGCCGTGGGGACTGTTAACTTTTGTGCCTCGTATTCTTGCCATCCCACGGTTCGAGGCCATGATGACCAATGGGGACAGTTCGTTCTCGAGAGCGCGATTAAGGAACGAGAAGCATTCAATATCCAGCATGTGAACTTCGTCAATGAAAAGCACCTATACAGATAATCAGTATACAAAAATATTAGTAATCCACGCTGCATTACTCACGCCAGGTATAATCTCTGCCTTCCCCTCTTCGCGCCACTCGGCAACCTTCTGGTTTATCTGATTCCGGAGCTCAGGCTTAATTTCGCCTGTGTCGCCTGCGAAGAGAGCCAGGAACCCTTGGGTTCGACTATTGATGACGTCAATCTCGTGTAGAGATACTGTGTGTACGACCTCTCGTCGCTTTTGAATTTCGCCTTCCGGACATTGCACGAATTTGGTCTGAGAATGGGTCAGATGTACAGCCCGTAACACGAATGGTCAATATGACACGTACGTCGGCACCCATTGCATCGTAATCTCTTGACCGCGCAAACGAGCGACCGAGCTTCGAGACCTTTCCTGAAGTCTTGTCTATGGAGATGACATCCCCCGCGGTGACCTTCTCCTTGGCCAGTGCGTCAATCATCTTGGTACCGAGGTCATAAATGGTCTCCATGTCAGTAGTCTTGATCGTCAGCTTGCCTGTCTTCGTCGCCTGCGGGAAAAATGTTCGTGATGTTGAGTAGCACAAGTGATGGGTGAGAACACACCCCAGTAAGGCTACGGTCAATCTGCATCTCGACGACTTCTCCCTCAATAATCTCAGTCTCCTCCTTGATTCGCACGCCAATACTTCTCCGAAATGCTTGCGTAAGAGCCTCCGTCTTGGACATTGACAAGGAGAAGACTTCGCTTGCGGCGATCATTGTGAAGGGGACGTCCGGGCCCAGAGTCTGCGCCATACCTACACGCGGGAGCACAGTGAGTCTCAGAATACACAGTTAAAGCTCATTTCCTGCAGCGTACCCAAAGCGATAGCAGTCTTTCCGGTGGACGGTGGGCCCGCGAATAGCATCGCGCGTCCCGCAATGCGTCCCTCCTGGACCATCTTGAGGATCATCCCCGCTGCCTTCCTCGCCTTCGCTTGTCCAACCATACCCTGGGAGTTGGCACGAGGCTCCAACCTGTCGTCCAAGCCGAGACCACGGATGTGGGAATGCGCACCTGGATCCATGTCGTCAGTCATTGTAGGGGAGTTGGTATTTGGCACAGCGTACCTATCCGCTCCATTTTGGTGATGTCGCGCAGCTCGGACGTGCCAGCCGTAATTTGGGTCGCCTACACATCGTTCAGTGGTCAGTCACACGCGAGATAGGTTGTCGGATGCTTGGAATGAAGAGACTTGCCATGGCGGTTGTGGACAGAAATAAGTGTAGGCGCCTGTTCAATCAACAATTCCCCGAACTTGTTCTGCACCACCACATCGTCAACGTCGGGGCCGCCGGCAGTGACGGGCTCTAATGTTTTCAGCAAGATGGGGAGTTAGCTTGCTTCGTTCGTGCGTTAGCTCGCTGAAGGCTTCGCCCTTGAAGGCGCCCTCGACTTCCACACTTCCCCGACTGCATCCATTCAACCGCACGCTCGCGACGGAAGTCATCTCAAATGCACCCACTGAGGTCAACCAGGCCTTCAGGAGGTCTAAAGACTTGTACAAGACATACAAACCCATCACACCGTCTATTCGTCACTTGAAGCGACCTCTCTCGCCTCACTTGTACCAAGGCCGGCCTCTCCGCCAACTCACCGTCGCGCTCCGCAAGAAAGGCGGGCGAAACGGCCATGGTCGCATTACCATCCGTTTTCGCGGTGGAGGACACAAGCGTCGTATCCGTTTAGTTGACTTCATGCGTACGGAACCCGGCCCTCACGACGTAGTCCGTATCGAATACGATCCGGGTCGCTCGGCACACATTGCACTCATCAAAAGTCGCAACTCCAGGTCGAAGCAGCCCTGGAGCTACATCCTCTCACCTGAAGGCCTACGTGCCGGCGATGTCGTCGAGAGCTTCCGCCAAGGCATTCCGGACGGCTACATTCCAGGCTTCACAGATTCGAAGTCGCTTCGCGGAAAGGATCTTGAGGCCGGCTCCGCCTCCGAAGGAGCGGGCTCGTCGAGTGTCTCGCTCGCGCTCGGTGTCTTGCGCACTATGACTCTCAAAAATGGGAACGCCCTCCCTCTCCGTCTCCTCCCCACTGGCACGATCATCCATAATATCGCGCTTGACCCTGAGGGCCGTGCGATCCTCGTTCGTTCCGCGGGTACCTTCGCTCAAGTCGTTACGCACGAAGACGGTGGCAAATACACCCATGTCCGCCTTCAGAGCGGTGAAATTCGCAAAGTGCTGCAGGATTGTGTTGCCACTATCGGACGTGTGAGCAATCCTCTCTGGATGAACCGTAACCTCGCCAAGGCCGGTCGTAGTCGTTGGCTCGGCCGCCGTCCGCGTGTTCGCGGTATGGCCATGAACAGGTGAGTACGAGTACTCAATATTTTTTAGATCTTCGTTTGCTCATGATCCAATTTAGGTGCGATCACCCTCACGGTGGTGGTCGTGGTAAGTCGAAGGGTAACAAACCACCGCGGTCGGTGTGGGGTTGGATGTGCAAAGGCAAGCGTACTCGCAAGCCTGGTACGAAAAACGGTAACAAGTTTACTGTGAAGGAGAGACCAAGGGGTAAGGAGAAGCGCGGCTTGTAGAAAATAGACATCATTTCTATGCCCTCTACGCCATCCGCCTATTGATAAAGGGTGCCCTGACCACTGCTTATCTACCTGCTACAAGTGCAGAGCATTGAGCGGTTTGTTGGGTCAGCGACATAGAGTGATTGTATATTGTATACAACCGAGGATAAGTATCTGAAGGAGACGTGCACAAAGCATCTCAGCCAAACTTTTCCTTCGCCAGCTGCATGAACATGTCCATGGTCTCCTTCTCCTTCTGCCGGATCGCATCAGCACGCTGTCGAGTAGCGGCTTCGCGTTCATCTCGAGCACCGTGCCGCTGTTCCTCCTTCCTCTGACGAGCAGCATCCCGCTGGCGGATTCTGCATCGATATCAGTATTAGTACAGTCGCGATGTATTGTGATACTCACCTCTCCTGGAAACCATCCCCACCACCCATCAACGTCGACTCGTCCGCCTCAAAACCATCGTCGCCCTTTTCCTTAAATGCTCTGTCTGCTTCTCTGCGCGCCCGCTTCTTCTCAAGCATGCCCTCACGTCCAACCTCCTTCGGTCCTACGACGTCCTCTATCCTCTCCTTCTCCACCTTCCGTTTGCGTTTCCTGTCCAGCTCACGCTCGGTGGCGCGCAGCGACTCTACATCTTCGCGAGCAAGCGTGAGGTCCGCCTGACCGGGAAGTGTCGGGCCCTGAATCCTGCTGCTGCCCCCAGCCGGTGACGAAGCATGGTCGGCGAGTGAGCGTTTATATGTGGCTGCGCTGATCTCTTCGCGCGTCGCACGGAGCGCATCGATATCAGCCTTGGAGGTCTTGGATGCAAACGACCATTTATAGCCCGTCTGGCTGCTCGCACTCTGCGCTTCCACACCGTAATAGAGTGATCCTAAAGGTATTGCAAAGTTAGAACAGCACATGTCGGGTATTATACCATGCGCACTAGGCAGCTTGCCTCTATTCCATGCCTGCAACAGTATGAGCATGAGTACAAGTACGCAAAGCATACGGGTGTACATCCTGGGATATTACGGTCTTACCTTCACGAACTTGCGGAAGTACCTGGTTAACTCTTCAGCGACTACAGCACGATGAAAAGGACGAACTTACTTTCGTGACTTTTCACTGGATAATTCATCCAAGTACTTGCGCTTCTCGTCCTTAAGCCACACTCTGAATTCATCACTGCGCAGGAAGTAGTCGGACTCTGAGATGTGCGGTGCATTGTTAGGCAGCGGGACATCTCTCTCAGAGGATGGTGAACGACCGCGGGAACGAGAATGAGATCTCTCACGAGATTCTGAACGATCTCGTCGCCGAGAGGGCATGCCGCCGTTGTGGTACAGGTTTAAGATAGCGGGGTAATCACCGCCACGCATGGGAGTAATTACAAGCGCCCACATGCGCATGTTCAGACCGAGAAGATGAAGTCAGCGATCCTCAGCTAGAGGCCACAAACAAGCTTTACACAGGTAACAGCACTGTTATACACTCTTGTCATGGTTTTGGTTCGCATGGCGTATGGCATAAGAACACTGAACAGACGCAGAGATAGAGAGAGAACAGCCGACAACAGTAAGGCGAACACTTCAGATGGTAGTCTCGTATGGTACAGGAGTCATGGTCTGTGGGGCGTTATCCGCAGTCGAGACAACATGAGCGAGGCGGGGCTGAGCGGGAATGCGCTTGAGCTGGACACGCTCTGTCGAATAAGACACAGCGGAAGGTGAGCAGAGTGACGAGTAATTGATCATCACAGGTACGTACCACCCTTGGCTTTTGCCTCAGCGTGGAGATCGTGATTACGCTTGACGCGATCGAGGAATTCCTGACGGCACTTCGAGTGTCTAATGTGCTCGACACGGATGTTCACCCGCTTCTCCATGTAACGGTTGCCAACGACCTTGTGGACTATGACACCGACGGCGTGAGGGGTGACATTGTAAACGATACCAGTCCGGCTAAATTGTGTATCTATACTTTAGCGAGTCGTGCTCCACGCAACGTCGTAGGGTGTACGTACCCGTGGTAGTACTTGTGCGGCATACCCCGTTGCTCGGCAGCATTGGCCTTGATGTCAACAATGTCGCCGACACAGTAGGGAATCAGGTACGTCGAAAGTTTAATCGGACCATGCTCTGCGGCCGACACATCGCTCAACTCTCCGCTTATAACATAGCAGCTACGCGATAACCGCACCTCTGAAGCCCCGCTTGAACATGTCGCGCGTACGCGCGCGGTAACCGAATGAGTGCGGCATTTTAAGGCCTGTGATATGATGTCAGTCCGCTAGCCAATTCAAGTAGTGTCAAAACTGCAATACTGACGGTCGTCAGCGTCGTGTGCTGTTGTCGGTGGCGGGTACGGTAGACTGTACGCAAGCGACAGGAAAATGAGCGCCTATTGAGGCGCTTGTCAGAGGTGGCTTGAGGTTCTGTACAGTTTTGATTTAGCGCGTAGACATTGTTTGCGCACATTTGTTCCCGGTACCCGAGAAACAACCCGCCAAGGTCGCCAGGCTTGTTCATCGCCGCCTCCGACGTCCTCAAGAAAAATGCCTAGGTAGTGTGACCGTGCTACTAGCTGAGCTTTTGCGTGTTTACCGTGGGTGTCTAGGGCTCCGCGGAACCACAGCAAGACGTGAGCAGCTTTCCTTTACTTCAAGATCCACTGTGCTGTGGAGGGACGCATTGTGCTGATTAAAGCCATGCCCCATCGTCATCTGCTTGATGATATTACAGCTACAAGGTCCCCCGTCGGCCTTTCGAATCTGCTCGTCTTGATGCCGAGCTGAAGGTGTGTGAAGCTAGTGATTGAAGAGATCCGTGACAATCTTCACACTCGGACTTGTAGCTCGCTGGTGAATACGGTCTCCGCAACAAGCGGGAGATTTGGCGCATTGGTCTTACCCTCTCCAAGATTCGACGTGCTGCTCGTGAGCTCTTGAAGCTTGATCCCAAGGACCCCAAGCGTCTCTTTGAGGGTAACGCTCTTATCCGTCGTCTCGTCCGTGTTGGTGTGCTCGATGAGTCCCGCATGCGCCTCGATTACGTGCTGTCCCTCAAGATTGAAGACTTCTTGGAGCGTCGTCTCCAAACCCAGGTTTTCAAGGCTGGCCTTGCGAAGTCCATTCACCATGCCCGTGTTCTCATTCGCCAGCGCCACATCCGGTACGTACCTAACCATCTTACCTCTCGGCATGCAATCTTAGGTTTTCGCAGTGTTGGTAAGCAGATCGTCAACGTTCCTTCGTTCGTTGTCCGCCTCGATTCCCAAAAGCACATCGATTTCGCTCTCACCTCGCCATACGGCGGTGGCCGTCCCGGCCGCGTCAAGCGCAAGCGTGCTGCTGCTGCCGCCAAGAAGGAGGAAGGTGGCGACGAGGAGGACGAGGAATGATTGGCGTCGTTGTAGCTTTATTCTCGTCTCACCCTTCGTGCCGTCTGTATATCATGCGGGCCTTATCCTATGGTGCATATGCGACCCATACGCGCTGCTTGCATGTCATCCGCAAGACGCCTGTCTAGTGAGCCCTCGGTTTCTGTGACGTTCATTTTTGCGCGTTAAGTTGGTCGCCTGTTTAGTTCGGCGGTCGTGAGAATTGAGATAACTATGGCAACGTTAGGCGTTCATGGCTCGCAACCAGACGCTCATGAGCTTATAACTAACCATACAGCAGGTTCTGTAAAGGTCATAGCTATGCAAGCTGAAGGGCTTCCCGCCCAGCTCACAACACAGCCGACGACAATGACTGGCACGGCGGGGTGGGGCACGACGGTCAAGACTGTCCGAGCCATCGATGAGGACAAGATTAGAGACTGCAAGGAAGATATTGACACGTTGCTAGTATTCGTACGCCATTCCCTACTGTACGAGCCTACTTCACTAAACTTGAATCTAGGCTGGCTTATTCTCTGCTGTCATGACTGCCTTCCTCATAGAATCTTACCAACTACTCGATGAAGACCCATCCGACGTCGTGACTCGGCTGCTCGAGCGTCTTGTGGACCAGACAGAGTCCTATCAACTCGTGAACGGTTCGCTTTATTCGAGAGCTGGGCCCAGGGCCAAGTCGCCGCCGTTTTCCCCACCACCGTCCGCGATTCACGTGAATGTACTCTGGTTCGCGAGCCTGATGTTCAGCCTCATTACGGCGTCCTACGGCATGCTCGTGAAGCAGTGGCTGCGCGAGTACCTCGCCGTCGACTACGTGTCGCCCCGGGCGCGCCTGCGCGTGCGGCAATTCCGCCATCCCGACCTGAAGGACTGGCGTGTCTTCGAGATTGCGGCAGTGCTTCCGCTACTGCTGCAGCTTTCTCTTGGGCTATTCTTCGTCGGCCTCTGCATCTTCACCTGGTCTGTCCATCCTGCCATCGGGCGTACAACGACACCACTCGTAGCGGGATGGGCATTCCTGTTTGTTGCGGCGACAATTGCGCCAGTGCTGTTTCCCCGCTGTCCGTACAAGACCACGTTTCTGAAGATGCCCCTGGCCTACATCCGCCGATGGTTGCGATTTAGGCGTGTTCGATCTCCCTCTCTCCTGAAACACAACGAGCTTCGAGTAGACGATGAAGAGGATGCGGCTGCGGACGAGACGCGGGATGTTGACATCTTGATTTCCCTAGACGAGACCTTGCAAGACGATCACCTCGTAGTCTCAATGCTCGATTCTCTCAAGCAGCTCTCTGATCCTCTGCGATCGCTGGTCAAGTTCATGAAACACGTTCTCGCGCGCCGCCTACACCAGGACGGGGAACGTCTTGTCGTCCCTTTCTCCGCTAGCCTGTTCAGGCTGAGCGGGCAGCAGTGGTCGCTCATGGTCAGCGGTCTGGCCGATGGGCTGACTCAGCAACCCTTGATACCTGGAACGAGAGCAATGACACGCCCAGAAGTGGATGCTCTATTAATGATCCTCTCACCCAGCAAATATTCCTATCCACCCCATATCGAACATATGGTCACCCATTGGATAACTGATCCCTCTGTATGCGCGTCAATGTGCCACAGCCTTTCATACGGCGAACCTATCCCCAGATCTAATATGGAGTCACTAATAGCGACAGTACGCACCTTGGCGGATAGACAAGTCCTAGATGGTGCCGAGACCGTGATTGCGCTAGACCATGTAGCGCTATGGTGCATCTGGAGGCACGCGGGCCCAGAACCCCCTCAATTTCCGGCGGGCCACTTCACTATCGTCGGCTCAACGGCCCTATTGCGCACACATATCACTACTCTAGGATGCCGGACTATATCTCAGACTCTCGTCAGCGCGCTGCTGCAGCAGAACAGCAGCCGGCTTCCATATGCTGAAGACGCTGAAATACCTATGTGGGTCGGCAGGGCTTTATCGACATGGTTTACTGTGGTGGATGTTCTATCCATCCAGGGAGGGTCCTGGCTTCACGACTTGAATGTCGACTTCAAGTGCGTCTTCTCGCGGCTGCTAGCCGCTCCTTCAAGTACCCGCACTCTTTTGCAGTGTCTAGTGGACGCGGATTGGGAGCTCACGCCCGGTAGTGAGGTTGAGTCGGGGCTTCACAATGGATTTACACGTGTCATCAAAGAGTCTTCTATGACCGGTATGTCGGCTCCCGTGTTGCCCCATGTGCAGAAACCTGATCCCTATCTAGATCAGACTGGCCTCGCGGGCAGCTTACTCGAGATATTTAAAGAGCGCACACAGCTGCTGATGGGAGCCCCAAACTATCCCCTCGCCGCCCTGGAACGTCTCTGCTATATCGCTGTACACCTCCTAGACCCAGACGCTCTTAAAGATGAAGCCCCTCGAGAAGCATGGCGCACGTTCTTCTCATGCATCGCCCTCACATTTAAATCGATATGTGGCGTCGAGCCGACATCCGAAACGAAGCATCTTGCGGAGCGATGTTTGCGGCGCATGCACGTCTTGGACACGACGTCAAAGTGGGGGCTCATTACTACAGACGACGAAAAGCCGTCATATGGGACGTATTACAAGTTCTGGCTGCGTTCGCCAAAACGGACAGACAGTATTTTCGAAGACGATCTGATCTATGCGCTCACAGGGATAAACCCCGACGCCGCACTGTCCGTTGAATAGGGACGGCATATGGACGGGCTTGCGCAGAGAGGCAAATCCGGAGACTGAGGCAGTATATGTTCTACTTTATTAGCTTTGGAGTCAGAAACACCGTAGAAATTAACAAGCTGATGATCAATCAATTTCTAACAATTAATAAGGCATGAACTTGCGAGCGTACGAGACGAAGGGATGACTGAGACTCGGCGGGAAACTGGGGAACATGGAGACTTACCGGTTATACAGCATAGGACCACTCCTTGGGACGCCTGATCAAAACTCGCTTCCCTTTCGTATAAATCTCACATATAAATAGTAAAGAAATTACATTATATTACTATAACATATGGACCTCCTCAGCGCGAAGTCACAAGGCGATAAGACGAACTCTGAAGTCAGCGGGATGGACACAAAACCGAGGTGGTCCAGGACAGCGGCTAGGGACACCGTGACTGATATGACGCGGCAGTCACGCGGTAGTCAGCCCTGTCACGCCTCAGTCACGCCTAAGCTCGGTAGAATCATGTCCGGTGCATTCTAGCTCGACACTTAAGATCTGAGCATTATGCGCATTTTCCACATAAATGGAGCATAACTTTGAGTACTAGTGAATATTTTTGCGAATTTTAAGTTCACTGTGCGGCTCCGGTGACGGTCTCGGCATCACTCAAACCGGCGCGCTTGATAATTTTCGAAGCTTTTTGCTCCCCCACCTACGCTACAATCACCGGACGGCCCTGAGTTTTTAATGACACATAGATATAGATATAGATATATTAAATACAGTAAAGTGGTCATAATAGGCTCTATAGGTTGCGCGAGGGCAGAAAGTGGCGTATCCTAAGGAGTGGTCCTGTAGCACCCGGGAGATCCCGCTCCCGAGAAGAGCCTGCCCTAAATCCAGCCACAACCCGAGTGACTGTATAGTCCTTTCCCAGGCTCTGTCCACCGAGCACCGACAGTACGTCCGTCGCCCAGCGCGTCCGTCAGCGCCGCCACTGACCTCCTCGAAGATGCAGATCTTCGTCAAGACCCTCACAGGGAAGACTATCACCCTCGAGGTGGAGTCTTCCGACACCATTGACAATGTCAAGGCAAAGATCCAAGACAAGGAGGGGTGCGTCTGCTGAAGCGGGATATCAAGACGGAACGATGAAGAGAGGCTGATTGGACATGTACAGAATTCCTCCAGATCAACAACGACTCATTTTCGCCGGCAAGCAGCTCGAAGATGGTCGCACCTTGAGCGATTACAACATTCAGAAGGAATCCACCCTCCACTTGGTTCTCCGGTGCGTTTTACCATGAAGATGCGCTTGGTTCTCTCTTCTGAGACTCCCCTTTGTACTTAGTCTTCGTGGAGGCATCATTGAGCCCTCGCTGAAGGTTCTTGCCTCAAAATACAACTGCGACAAGCAGATTTGCCGCAAGTGCTATGCTCGTCTTCCTCCCCGGGCCACCAACTGCCGCAAGCGTAGCTGTGGCCACTCGTCCCAGCTCCGGCCGTGAGTCTCACATTTCGGACAGTCGCGACCTACTTCTGATAGACGTTTCGCATCTCCAGCAAGAAGAAGCTGAAGTAGTGGTTGTGCGGTGTCTGAAGGATTCCGATCTGCGCTAGGCGTGGGCTTTCATGTACTATTTTCACGCGGCTTCGTTACATGGAATCTCACTTCCCGCATCATACATAATCACCTAGTGAGGTTTGGCTTAGGCGAGTGATCTGTGCTCTATGGGTCGTATAGTACTGCTCTATGCTCTATATTCCCTGAAACTGTCGCATCTATCGAAGTGCGCCCTCCGTCGCGACTGCGTGGTCTGCCTCTGAACTTGCCGGCTTCGGCTCTCTCTGGGTTGTCGCTGGCTTAATGCGCTAGCTCTCCTGCTCGCCGCGCACCAGGCGTCGACTTTCCGGCTGCCTGACTACGACAGATGAATATTCCGCCGATTCTAGGGCCTGTATTCCGCCACGCTTGCTGGGCCTATAGCTAACTCTAATCGCGTTTCACACTCTAGATTCTGACCAAGTCGCGCACTATCTGTCCGGCCTTGGTTTGTTCATGCTCGAGTCTGTTCAACCATCTCATTTGCGACACTCGACTAGATTTTTGTACATTGGTCTGAGTAAAGCGCAACAAGTTTAACGTCCGCATACAGGCCGTCAAGAATATCGCGTCGCGTCGGGGAGGCATATGCTTGGTCTGTATACGGTTCGATACATAGCGTAAGCCGTTCCTCCGCGGTTAGTGACGGTACGGATTCAGACTTCAGGTTTCAGGCCGGTGGTCGAAGACCCCGTGGAGAGTCGTCGACGGCCGGGGTATTTATCCAAGGGACCTAATGCATGCCTTCAGGCCATCACGACAGCTATATACCATACACCTTCCTTGCATTCTCTCTTGCGACCTTCATTACGCTCTCGACGTCCCAGGAGCCGCCGGCCTCGTTCGCCACACCTGCGACGAACTCCGCCGTCCACGGGAGCATCGCGGTGTGGCAGAGAGGGAGGCGCTTGCCCTTGATCTCCGGGAGCGCAGCGTAGATGTTCCCGGGCACCATAAAGGGCGCATCTGTCTCGAGAACAATGCGCAGTGTACTCGATGACTGGGACTCGCCGGATGAGCTGACCATTTGGCGGATGACAGCAGACGTGTTGAGGTTTGATGAGTAAGTGATGACGCCTGTATTGAAGTGTGATCATCAGGGACCATTGGATAGCAAGAGAAGAGTGTAGACGAGGCAGACCTGTGATGCCGATAAACAGGTTAGGGAAGTGTTCAAGCATTCGTGCTGCCCACTCCGGAGAGTCAGTGTAGCAATGGATGTGAATCTATCTCCGATCAGATAGTAGCCTGCTTTATAGAGATGCATTAAACGCATACTTTGTGATCTTTCGGCACCTCTGCCTTCAAGATCCTCTCAGTATCTTCTTCGGCTTCTCGAGTGTGGATTGTCAGAGGCTTCCCGAGCTTGACGGCATGGCGGAGCTGCCGCGCGAAGACTTCCTGCTGAATTTCGCGGGGCGAGTTATCATAGTGATAGTCCAGACCAATTTCACCCCAGCCTACGCAGCGGGGATGTCTCATAGCCTCTATGCTAGACAAATTATGAACAAGCAAGGTCACATAGGTCTGTATAATCACGCACATGTCGCGTTCTACTACGTCATTGTATGATTTTGCTTCATGTCTAGATTGTCCGCATTCGATATTAGTAGTACATGCTACAAGGAGTGGCATGCTTACGGATGTACGCCTGGCATGCTCCCGTCAATTGTTTACATCCTCTCGAAAGGAACAAGGACTTACCAATTACGAACCAATACTCCATTCCACCCCAGTCCTTTTCCCTCCGCTCTATCGCTAAAGCGGAGTCCGCGAGCTCCTTCCACTGCTTAACCACTGGAGCCTCGCACCAAACGTCCACAATCGCCTCTACTCTACGCCCACGGTACATGCCGCGTACGAACTCCCATATCGTCTGGTGGTTCCCGGGCTTGTATGTCGCCTGGTATGCACTGAAGGTAGATAGTAGATGGGTGTGCGTGTCAACGGTAGGCTCGTGCTCTGCTTCGGGTCGCTCTGTGCGCGAAGGGTGCACGGGTAGTAGCAGGTGCTCTTCACCTGGAGTTGTATTCTTCTTCTTGCCCATCTTAGGTCTATGAGCGAGGGTGCTGCGAGTAGCGAAAGCTCTATGGTGGAATGAAGATCTAGCGGTGGATGTGAAAGGGCGAGATACGAAAATGTGAAGCAGGTATCTCAGGCTCATGCCGGTGAGCGGCTCGAGGCAAGGATGGCCGGGGCCGGCGAAGCCTGCTTTGCTTGGGAGTCAGCTCAACTTCCCACTTGGTAACCACGGTAATGACCGGTGTTCTTCCTATACATATACTCTAGTAGATAGATTGTTATTTGCTGAAATACAACAAAGTAAGGTCGCCGTGAATCATAGTAATGGTGGGTGAAGAGACAAGGACGCTATCGCCTCACGCTGGCGCCCAAAAATTATGCCAGAAATCACTTGCTGAGTCTCTCGCCACAGCAGCAGCCTCCGCGGTCGCTTGTTTTTCAATATTAAGCTCAAGAGTGCCGACCCAGAGCTTATTATCTGGCCTCAGAGGAGTGAGCATCTCTCGCTTTCGCCGAGAGCGGTGCCGGAGGTCATATTTCTCTCCACGGATCAACGTCCAACTTCAAACCTCGTGGACTGGAGCCTCTCACAAAATACGTATACACAGTCCGGTCTCTGCGAACATCTCCCGAAAGAGAGGGAACGAGACCAACGGGATATAAGCTTGGGTGATAGTCGCAGCACGCGTCTGCTTTAGCATAAAGCAAGGATTGATAAAACCTTCTGACAGGTCAAATGAGCACAAGTCAAGTAATCACGTAGTTACGGCACAAGTATCTGTATTTTCCATACATTGGCCAGCCAGTCAAGTTCCCTACCCATTCGTAGCCTCTTCAACGTCTTCATCTTCCAGGTCTGGCGGATCGAAGTCCTCATCCTCATCGTACAGGCTGCGAGTCATAGTAGTGGAGTTAGGAGGGATAACGAGCCAGTCGCGGTGCACGTCTCCACCCCGATCCTGCAGTTCCTGCCACCGATTCCGGCCGACTATCTCACCCTCCCAAGCCCACATCAGGCGCAAGGACTGCCCCCAACGATACACGGCGAGGTCCCTGTCGCGCAGTGTCGTCGACATGCTAAGATAGCCACTTGCCCGGTATGCTGCCACAAACTGCTCGAACGTCAGCTCCGGTGAGACTAGTGTTGCCGCGGATTCGGATTCTATCCGGATAGAATCCGATCCGGCCTGATGGGTCGCCAATCCGTTCAATCCGGATGGGCGCGGATTCAAGCCGGATAACTTCCACTCGGAGAATGCCGACTCAGACGCCATCCATCAATTCTAGTTCGACGCGGTCACGCAAGACTGCACGAGAACGCGTCGCGTCCATGGTTAGTGTTCCTCGTGTTTCGATTTATTGCCTGTAGCTGTGTTTGCCCCTTTCACTTCTGTCATCTCCTGAGGTTGTTGCTAGAGTAACATGATAGATCAATATATTTATTTGAAAAATCACACAAGACCCAATTACTGCACGAGCTATTGCCCAGGGACCAGGGCCAGCCAGTGTGTTTCTTTCAACTTGAAACAAC